CCATCCACACAGACGGATGAATTCATAATGTAAGTGCAACACTCCTAAATAATGCATAGCTCTAATAAGCTAGTTGCTAATATATCAAGGTTGTTCAAAGACTTGGTGAACTTTGCATATTGAGCCCCAAGACACTGCAGTGCCGTCTGCTTTCTGCACCCCTCCTCCAATACACTAGTGTATAGTGCAAACTGCTCTATGAAATTGCCTCAGCCTCAATTCCCAAATGTGTAACCGCCTGTTCTTCACAATGAATAGTGCAGGGGGGTAACCAGGGTGGAGGCTAACATCATTAGCCGCAGAGGAGCACATGGGGAGGTCTGCTGTGGATCATCACCATGGAGAGGCTCTACTCCATTTCCTCTGCAGACCTCGCTGAGTCTTGTGTTTGTCTTGTAACCCGAGACAACGGGAGGATCGGCACAAACAAGGGTGCAGCCCCACATCATCGAGGATTTCCCTGATTCAAAGGGTCCAAACTAACCAAAAGAGAGCTACACACAGCTGCATCTTATCCACCGTGTCTGCAAATAGATATAAGGAGTTTTCAAGGGCAAACATATTGCTGTAATTCTAGATTAATATTACAAAAGTGTACAAAAGCAGGGTTGAATGACCGTCTAGTTAACTTGAGAATATAATACACCATCATATAAGATGTTGGGTTAGTAAAAGAGATTAAGGTTGTCACTTTGCATCAGAGAGCTTAAATAAACATACCCACAAATAACAAATAGACCCAATCAAATGATATTTTTGCTATGATAGTTTAACCGAATACATATTTCATTAGGTTTTTAAGGTAGCTTAAGAGGCTTTCAAACCCAGGAAGTAGACAGTGTTGGGCAATTTTTGCTGATGTCGTGAACTGGTTTTTACCCCACTTTCACAATCTGCTGTTGTGCACCAGCTCCCTGCAGATAACACGCCATCGCTGCAGACTCGCAGTAGTTGCGGATGCAGCTGAGATCTCGGTTGCTGCCACAGCCTCATCAAATTTCTAGGAAACGACAGCCTTTGTTGACTGATGGGGTTGTGGTGTGAATAAACACCAAAAGGTTGAAGAGTGTGGAGGCGTGGAACTATGACTGAAGGCGAAACCTCTGTCTTTTGAAAAGTTTGCCTTCAAAAAAAGAGAGTATCAGAAAAAACATGTGAATTATAATTATTTTTTTATTTTACAACTTTACAAATGTGTTAGCTTACAACCTGATCCAAGTATGCTTTCTGTCTCAAAAGCACAAACAAACTTCCCCAACTTCTGTCATCTTTGGTGCATTGGACCAGCACAATCTACCCAACTCAAAGGCCTGGGTTAATTCTTCCAACACACTCAAACTTTCCAGGCTGCTGTTTAGAATCAACATTTTCAGGAAGCAGAGCTACACTCATGCAAATCCCCCCCCTCCTCCCCTCATGTTGAGGTCAAACGAACCTGGGGATATGAATTGGCTTTATGAAAATGGGCTTCATGACTGCATGACATGGAAAATGGCTGCTTTACATTCCTGCTTTGGCCTAGGGTTTATTAACAACAGACTGCTAGGGAATTTTACAAGAATTGTGAAAGAAAACATTATCAGAAGGTTCAACTGACTGCCCATTACTCTCGTTTCAATTTGCATAGGAAAACTTTTTCTTTAGATTATAAAAATAATTTCTCTGAATTTAAATAATGTTGACTTCTTTCAGTTAAGTCCAGCCATTTAGGTCAACTTAGTGGCAGTTGGGAGTGGAAGATGAAAGGAACCCACGCATCAGCAGTTAAGTCCATTTAAGTCCAATTTTCAATGTTGAGAGATGTTGCGAAAAGTAGGAGAATCCACCAAGTGAAAAAAAGGCTCTGAGTGTCCAAAAGTTCACCTGATCAACAGGGCTAGTGTAGCCCCAATACCAGCAACTCCAGCAAAGGCCATGAGCGTGTTCCTCACCGTGGACTCGGAGTCTGCTTCCCGAAAGAACTCAACGAAGCCAACCTGCAAATAAATTGAATAAAATACATTAGATTTACATTATAAAGTGAGGCACAACTGCTTTGGACTTGTTGCACAATAAAGGGCAGTTACACAACTTCCTGTCACTCAAGCATTAGTCATAACTTACCCAGCCATTGTTTTTGAGCAGCCAGTCTCTCTGGTCAGATAGCAAGTAAGTGGAAATCTCCTGGGCGACCAGCTCCACACAGTGCTCCCTGTTTTTCTCTTTCAGGGACTGACAGACCACTGCCCCAAAGGCCACCAGGCTCGCGATACGACCCCAGTTGGTGGTCCCGTCAGCAAAGAGGCTTGTTGCTACTGCACTGACAAAACTAGCATCATCCTCTCTGTCATCAAGTGACAATTTGTTGATCATACCTAAAAAGAAACCAAGGCAGGGTCAGAAATACATCTTCTAAAAGACTACGGCTTGTATTGTCATATGCACAATGGATGCAGTGTAGCTGTTGCCAAGCAAAGTCTAAAGTCCAAGGCTCTTCCAACAATGCAACACACAGTAAACTAGAAATAAATATATGGGGAGGAAAAAAGTGCACGGTGCAGGTAAAATGAGGGGAGAAGTGAACTATAGAGATGTGGTTGAATTAGATAAAACGGAATGTAAAATTAAATCTTTATTGTATGTTTAAAAAGGTAAGATTTTGTGCACATCAACTCAAACAATTTCCATTCAAGTTATGACTGCTGGCTTTAATTGATCTAAGAGGCAGTAAAAAAAAAGAAGCCAGTTCAACAATATATATGTTGTGCATAATTAAATAATTAAACAGCCTGTAGCTTTAGCATTTAAAGGCTATGAGTAGCAGTCTTTGCATAATAAATATCAATGTATACACTATCATATGTATATATGTGTCAGCTACTGTAATATGTATATATTTTCTCCATTTTTTAATCCTTTTAATACCTGAAAAAATTGCTGCTGTAACAAAATAATGTCCTAATCTGGGATGGATAAAGCAGCTTCCTATATCCATCAACCAACTTCCATTCAAATTAGTTAACTACTGGCTTAAATGTAACTAAGAGGTAGTAAAACAAATACAGTTATAAAACAACTATATATATATATATATATATATATATATATACACACATTGTGCATAATTCAATAATAGATATAACACAGCATGTAGCTTTAGCATTTCATGGCCATCAGCAGCAGAATATAGCCCACACACATACGTGTCACTACTACCTACCATTGTATGCGTATCTGTGTTTAGACAAAAGGCTCTCCACCACTCGTTTCATCGTCCCTAGTTCTCTGCTTTCATGCCACTGAGGTTTGGAAAGTCCAGTAAAGTCTCTGAAGAACCGGCCAATTAGTTGCCTGGTGTCGTTCTCGAGCACCTCGTTCCCCGCAGAGCTACCGGACTCATCGATCTCACTGTCCGACTGGAGCTCCGGACTGCACGGTAACGAACCATCTTCAATTTGTTCGCTATTTTTTAACGCAAACCCATTGGTCGTCTTCACCCCTAGGCTCTTGGGTCTTTTCGGGTTATCGTTGGACACGACGTGGCCGTTGCTGGAGTCTTTCGGTGGGGAAGAAGTGCCTCCTCCAGAGCCGTAGTGCATGGCTCCGTCCACGACTCCATTTTGAGGAAGAATAAGACAGCTCATGGTTCCAGTTACGCTTAAGACTCTTGTTGTCCTAGGAAATATGTTTGGCGATTAACTTTAAAGATTACCAAATGAAAACAAAGGGTATTGATAGAGAACCTTGCTAGTCTGTGGTTACAAAGAAAAAAATTAAACTAGCATATTCTCTATCAGTGACTCTATATCCATGGTCGTGATGGGAGTGAAACGGAAGTGAAGCCAACGGTTTATGAAGTTCTTAGTTTGCGCGTCATTACCTACGTGTCACTACGTCACAAAATGTGTTCTCTAGTCCCAACCTTTTTTCCAACTGTTCTTATTTTTTCGAGTTGTTGAACATAAGGAAAATGAAATAGGTTGAGAAGAAGTAGAACATGTATTTTTCAGAGTGTGGGAAGGGTTTTTAATGCAAACTAATATAAAGCAGGAATTTCTTAGATTTTTGGTAATTTTCCGTGACATCAAACAGAGAGATTATAGATTACCGGAAACAGTGCCATAAATAACGACTTCTCTTTAGGACTTTATGACTGTTACAGAGGCAATCACGAAAATAGCAGTAATGTTTTTACATAATACTAATAATAACTAATCCATGAAGTTAAAAATAAATTACATTTTTAGTACATTGTAAACCTGTAGGCCTATATTGTTTTATATTTATACCATGACATTGTATTTTCCATACTGTTCTTTTTATTTTAAGCTTAATGAATAGTATGCTTTTATGTCTTCGATAGACAATGACCTTGTGAAATTAAATGTTTTTTTAACTAAACATAATGTCAGACATGTATATAATAAAATTTGTTACATTTATTTTATATATTGTTTAAGTTAAATTTCAACCATGACACATTTTCCCATAGGTCATCACCAATGACATTGTGCTATGCAGCAGTTGGCTTAGATAAAGTGTCTTGATCGGTTTATGGTTTAATAAATAACAGCAAACGTTGATGTCACTGATCCTAGACAATAAATACAAATAAAACGGGTGACATATCGCTGACATTTAGAGCCACCCTGTCCTGCACTTTAGCACACATTACATGATATTACATGAGGGTGAGTCGACACATTTCTTCATGTTTAATCACAGCAGGGTATTTGTCATCTAAATATGTGAGACATGTTCACCTAGTGCTCCTTTATACAGAGTATGTTAGGAAGTCTTTTGTGAATTAAAGGCCACATGTTGAGTGCTAGTGCTTCCCCCTGGTGGTCAGAGGACGGTTGTACTTCTTTTAGCATCTCCTTATGTGTTTCCCTACAAGATTCAGGAGGAATCTTATACTTAACATGTGACCTTTTATACTTTGCTTCCATGTGTTGAGGGGCATTCGTCATAGAGCTTTGGAAAATACAAGAGCCTAACATTAACGAAAAACAAGGGAATCGTATTAATGTAAAAGTTTATTTCAAATACTGACAAAAATCCTCTCACCTACTCCCAAACAACTGAAACATTCCAAGTACTCGTGTACTTTCTGAAGTCTTTAAATCATTCCCGTGTTCTCCAGTCATCCTTTTTAACATGTAAACCCTTATTTGTATTTTTCCTTGGAAGCAAAGGTGTGCCTCTGATTTCCCTGCAGTAATATTGGGCTAGGGATGAAATATACTAATTGTGGTAAGTAAGAGAACACAAGAAACTTAAACAAATCATTGCAAATAAAAACAACAAGAAAACCGATAAGGTAAAAGCAGCACAAAAGTACTTCAGAGCACACAGCCTGTCATTTCTTTTTACATTCTGGCACGTTTTTATATAGCTGAACGAGAGACACCCTTTGTGTTTGAAACATACCCTGCTATTCCCTCTCGTTGAACCGCTCTGTGCCAAAGCCAAACATCAAGTAGCATTCAAGAATTCCTGTCCGTTGCCGTTTAATAGAACATGTAAAAGCTTAAACACCCATTTTCTTTACCAATCTTAACTTTTAAAGCACAAAACTTTAGTCTTTTTAACACAGTATGATGCTTAATGGTCTGTGACACAAAGCTTTTCCAGAACTTTCTGGATCAAAAGCTGGATAGAGTTCGGCAATGTACCTTTAAAGATGTAGGGTTGAATTTACATCTCAAATTATTTGACTTTAAACAAGGATCCTTGGGGGAACTGGTCAAATCAAGAGGACAGGTGTTCTTGTACAGGGTCATCTCTTAGATTTGTCTTTGACTGAATCAGCAGCATTTACACATATTTTCATAAGATACAGATTCACATAGCCTCTGCGTTTCACTAAGATCGAGCAGAAGTAGTGTTAAACTGAAAGGAGAGAGGAACCATTGAATCAGAAAATAGCTCAGGCTATGAAAGAGTGAAAAGCAGTTGGGAAACAACACAGAAATCCCTTCCTGTTGAAGTCTATTTACAATAGATGGAACAGAGACAAGCAGTGCATTCATACGACACCATCACGAGCACACACGTACAGGTCAGTTCTCTTTCGCCCACTGCACATTTGACACATTATTCTCGAAGAAAAAGAGGTTGAGGATGTGATGGTGCATGCGCCCTGTCACCTAGCCTACATGGTGGAGAGTGTTTGTGAAGGTTCCCTGAAGCAGTGTTTTACAGGAGGCTGGTTCTCAGAGAGCGTCCAGTTCTTCAACGTGTGCACGGCATGCTTTCAGTCTGCAGGCTTGCTGATGCTCGCTCAGAGGATGCACCACATTAACAGGTGGGATAGGAGCGCAGTGGGTTATCAAATCTCTCTCTGCCTTGCCAAGTGCTGGGGTGAGTGCATCCTACAGGCATGCAGTGTCCCACTTTAAGCCCGTGGTGACAATCTGGGGATCCGACACCTGTTGTGAGCAGGTTTCCTGCTGCTACCCTCCTGAGATCAAAGATCAGTCAGTGTAGTGACTCAGTTTGAAACAAAAACACTTTGTTCTACAGAAGCAGCTTATACTCCAACTAACGTTTAAGGGAAGCAGAGTAGGAATATTATTTCACTGAAGTTAGTGTCTTACAATGTGACTTGCCAGAGATGGTTACCACTTCCTGTGATTGTGATATAAAGTGAAAAACATGGAGAAAACCATCTCCAACAAAAAGGCGATACATGAAAGTCCTGTGTGAGATTTAAAAAGCATCTCGAATCATTTACTAAATGTCTGAAAACAACTTTCACTGCACAGTGCAGGACATCTATGAAGGATAGTTCTGGGACTTTTTATAATCTGATACAGCAGTTAAGTCACAATATGAACTGAAATGCTAACAAAGTGATTGTTAAATCTGCTTTTTAAAGATGACAAGTAAGTAAGTTGTCTGGATCGTGTTTACGTCACTCTACGTGAGTTCATGAGAGTTGAAACCAAAGTGAGCCTCGCCACCTCACAATGTGAACCAGATGATGGGTGCTAACAGGCCACATTTAATAGATAGATGAGACTGATAGCTGCAGTGTGAAATTTGGCTCTGTTGGTAAAGTATAGAATTACCAAAGGCAGAAATCCCAGGATGCAAGCGAGTGGATTCAGCACTACATCTATCTCAGTCCTCAGAGAGCTTACTCGCATTACGTGCTTGAGTCAGTATTATTTACAGAAGCATATACTCTACGCGGGGTGCTTCGATACCCCCGCAAATCTTTTAGGCTCATGGCAAACACACGTCTTGAGCCAAAGTGAGACTGAACTCAGACTGGCATGGTTCCCCGCCATTAAAAATAATACAAGGACATACTCAGCTGGCCTGGGCCGATTACAGGAGCTCATGGATTGTCGGGACAGCAATAAGGAAAGGAAAGGAAGGAAGGAAGGAAGGAAGGAAGTGTGGAGTGTGTCTAAGGGCTCTGTGTGTTTGTTTTGATACTTCCTATTACTAAGCGAAAGCCACAGTCCCGTTAAAAAAACATGTTACATTTCTTTTTTTCTTACATGTTACAATCATGCAGCATATTTAGATTGAACAGGAGAAAAGGGAGTCAAGAAGGAACGCAACATGAGCAGAGAGAGAGAAAGTAAAGTGGCGCTTTGGCTGAGCACGATTTTTGTTCCACGAAAGGTGGCCGAAGGAAGGCCGCCGTTCATGCCCCCCCATTTCCCAATATGGTGTCTAAAGAACTCAGATTTGGTATGCAAGCCATTATTGAACATGAAGAACCAAAGAATCCTGGTTCCTAACTCCCTTACACATTATTTTGGTGTCCTTTAGGATGCGAAAACTAAACAAAAGCATACTATACAGACTACAAAGTGCGTTATAACTCACCCCGTCCAACCCCTGCCTGACGACACACCCACTGAGATGCATCTTGGAGCGAAACGAAAACCAAGACATGAGAGGGGAAGGGGGTCGGAGGGGCAGAGTAGTGCATTGTGGGAAGGCAGAGAAGGCTCCCTCCCACATACAAGCAAATGGAGTTTTTTTTAACTTATACGACTCTGCCCGACACGTTAAAGCCAGTGGTGCCTGGGGATGAAAAGGGGGAAGAGAGGGGAGGGGAAGGACATAGATGGAGGAGGAGGGACATTTCGATGGGGGCCCCAGGAGGCGGGGGTTAAGGTGCTTTTAGGGTGATGGGGGCTAGCCGGCTAGCTTGCTGGTCACCAAGGAGGACTTCCTCGGCGGCAGGTCCTGCGGCGTGGGAATGTGGTCGCCGGTCACCAGGTTCTTGTCGGGTCCTGCCACGGGAAGCTTTTTCATATTTGCCTTGGCCATGTTGTAGTCGCCTGAGTCAAAGTACTTTTGCTGTGAGTGAAAGGAGATAAGAAGAAGTGCTCACAGCATTAGAAAAGCTTGTATATGCTGCTCAGGCTCTTTCTGCATATCATGTATTTATTTTTGCTATGTATATAAATGTCATGTTCTTAAATGTTGTGTGTGACGGGACTACGGATGGAAATGAGCTAAAATCCGGCATATTTACATTGAAGCATTAATTGTTAAAAATGTTCATCAATGTGCATTGTCCTTCTTCAAATAAACGATTAAATAAATTAAAATAAATTAAAAAGCATTATCAGTCCATGGAATTATTCCTCTTGTCCATACTGGCCCGGTGGAGACATTTCCTTATTTAATCTCAATATGGAGGACATGATTTACGGGCTTAACTCTGTAGAAAGCTCGGGGTTCATACACTTTTTCACCAATGATTTTCCATGACCTTTACCTGATTTTCCATGACCAAAAAAATTACTCTTTCTCAGCGGTACCACTGAAAATGGTTTATTTTAACATGGAACAAGAAAATAAGGTCTGCATATGAAACATGTTGTGCCTATCTAAAACAAATCCAATAGAAGGCTTACTAGCTTCTAAACGCAACTCAAATCTCTCACCAGCAAAACACCTCGTCAGTTAAATGCCATTTTACGTTTCATTACTATACCATACAGTCTTTATTATCATTATTATAGTATTACTATTTCGACGATTAGCTAAAATATCAATTATATTTGATGCAACTTTAGTTAAATTTCCATGACTTTTCCAAAACTTTGGGAAAAATATTGTTTTCCATAACTTTCCCAGGGCCTGGAATTTGCATTTTGAATTTCCATGACTTTTCCAGGTTTTCAATGACCGTAAGAACCTTGAAAGCTGTACTCCAAAGTTCAGCTGAGTTTGTCTTTCCATGCCGTCTTCCTCCTCTACAGTAGCTTTCCGCTGAAGGTGTATCAACACAAACTGCATGTTGATGTTCACTGAGAACTATTGGATCCCCTCCACACACATGCAGACACAGTTCTGCTGGGTGCTTTGCTCCTAGTTGTTTTAGTCTTGTGAAATGCTAACTTTACCTGGCGATGTTTGCACTACTCTCTATTTTTATTTCTTCTTCTTCTTCCTCGATGCCATCTCACAGCGGTGTAGCAAATACAATATCTTCCTTTGTGCAGAGATGAGGCGGACTGACCTTGGAGAGAAGTGACGATAGTTGCATCTCGATTTTCTTTTTAATAGATGACCCTTATCTAGCCATCTGAATACCTTTTTTACAGATCGGCTCACAGGTCCAAATACATTGGGGAAAGTAATGCTAAATCCTGAAAATACAAATGAACAACTCAAGATGTGTTCAAAGTTTAAGGCTTTTTGGTACTAATGTCCCTGGAATGTATTTTTATAAACTAGGGAGGTGGATTCCTCCAGCTCTTACGTTGAATTCACATAAAGAAATACGATTTTCAAAGCCAGCAGGAACACCAAGAACAGAGGTCGCGTTAACCGAATATTTTCCGTCTATGACAGATCTTTTTTAACAATGACGGAAAAATCTGAAAGCAATCCGTCATTTTGACCGATTAGGACAAATTCAGAACAGCGCCAAAGCTTCCCCGCAGCGAGGCTCCGGTGTTATGCCGTGTTATGCATGCTCGCCAAAAAGGAAATGATATAGTTTCCAAACCTAACTTTGCCGAACGGATCATTGAAATGTCTGCGAGTATTTGCTTTACGCTGTGGCACGCTCCCGGGAGGTGCAGTAGGCATGCATAACATGGCATAACACAGGCGCTAACAAAACTAACGAGTTCACCCTCGCCCCCCCCCGTTGACAGTTCACGAGCGTGTGTGTGTGTTTTTCTTTTCTTTTCCCCTCTCTCTCTCTCTCTCTCTCTCTCGCTCTCTCTCTCTCGTCTCTCTCTCTCTCTCTCTCTCTCTCTCTCTCTCTCTCTCTCTCTCTCTCTCTCTCTCTCTCTCTCTCCGTCAGAGTTGTGTAAAGACCGACGGGTAATAATGGATTTTGACGGAAATGTTACGATCCTGTCCGTCAAAATGACGGGCAGCGAAAAAGTCTAGAGCAACCTCTGACCAAGAATATTGTATAAAGACAGATTTGTCTTCCTCTTCTGTTCAAATCAAGAGTATGGTGTTGTGCTGAATCAGCCCCCC